TCATTCCATCCGTTCAATACTAAACGTTAAATGAGTGAATACATTCTTTTCATACCATAATTAGATTGTACACATAAATGTTGTCACCATGGACGTTAACGAGAAAACACTGTCAACGCAGACAAAAGGTCTCATTTTCATTTATTCACGGTATCATTTTCTCTCCAAATTTTTTCAAATCTATTTTTTTTTTGATCGAAACTAACACGCATTTATTACACTTTCTTTTATCTCCATTAATAAATTATTGTTCATACCAAACATGGCTAAGTCTTCTCGCACCGGTGTTCTTCTATCAAAAGTACGTGATGATGCCATAGAAGAATTCAGAGACAACATCAAACGACATTTCTATGACACATTGAACAAAATAGGTGAAAAACACATTGAGGAGTCTAAAACTCATGAGCAATATGATAAATTACTTGATCAAACGCTTGATGATCTTACATTTTACAATCATTTAAATGATCCACACAGGGATAATGTATATGACTCATTTCTGTCATCATTAGCCGATAAAAGTATACCATTACAACTGACCAATTTAAGTGCAACGTTTAATAACAAACGAAAGCTGCTGGACTTTCAACGTGATTTCAAACTTGAAGTTGATCGATTTCGACAAGCACGCATATGTCAACCAACGGTAGATAAAATCAAACAACAAATGAGCTATCAACACGAACGAGATTTGGCTAATTTGGAAAAAGAATTAGAGAGCTCCAAAAACGAAATAACTGAAGTGTTTAAACAACAAATAGCTGCATTGCATACAACACATCAACAAGCATTGGCAACAACACATGATACTCATAAACAGGAACTAGCAACCATCCATGATAAACATCTACAACAATTAGCATCTACACAAAACACTCATAAAGAAGAATTTGATAAAGCTCAAACAACACACGCCACACTTCTCGCAACAACACATACCACACATAAGGATGAGGTAAACAAACTGAATGAAAATTTTAATCAAAAACTGACAGTATTAGCTAATGAACATAAAAATGAATTAGAAAAAGTCAAAGAACTACATAAACAAGAGATAACAAAAATCAATGATACGTGTGAGAAAATGAAAAAAGATATGGACGTTCAACATGCCAATCAATTATCGAAAATTAAACATGAGTTAGACGAGGTTCAGCAACAGTTACGTGGTGCTGTGAAGAAACTAGATGAAAATATTCAACATCGTTTGCAAGAAGTTATGAAAAAATTAGATGAATTTCATGTTGGCGTTAAAGATACACATCGCCCTGCACAATCACATGGAGAAACTTCAGAACAAAAAAAGAAACTGAACATTTCATGATCATAGACAATAAAAATGATGTACATTTATTCGAATAAAATAATACGATTACATCAGGATAAAACTCGAGATCATTTCTGAAGTTGAGAAAATCATACAAACTAGTGTACAACACAAGGGAAGAAAAAACGGATTCGCTTATTTCGGGATCCTCATATATTCGGAACTATTCGTAGATATTTGCAAGTATTCCCATTTTTCCAAAAG